TCGCAATTCAGCCGAGTGGAGGACTGCTGACGATCGCCCGATTTGTTTCAACTGCCACCGTATCGGACACGTGGCCCGCCATTGTAACACTCGGTGGTATTAGCATCAGGCATCCTATGGGTACCCCCATCGGCCAGAGAGGGATCATGGACGCTTTCAAACTTACCGGGAGTCACCTCAGGCCACCAGTGAAGACGTTCCTTCTATGCCGCCATATCGTCGTCGCTCTCCATCTCCGCATGCTCACCAGTCCCGTTCACCGCTCTCCCGCCGCTCATCGTCTCGCTCGCCCCAATTTCGCCAACTGACCACCTGCCGCGGGAAAACTAGATGATGCAGCTCCCAGAGGTGATGCGGCATCGACCACTTGCCCGCCAAATCCTGTGACCATGCTGCCGACTCGACGCAACCTCATTGACGTTGAAGTAGATGACACACCCGTTGTTGCACTTGTGGACACAGGGGCTCACATATCAGTGATGAATTCAGAACTTCGTTGCCGCCTTAGGAAAGTTTTAACGCCACCCACAGTGCCACTCATCCAGGTCGCCGACGGCGACACGTTTCCCGTGCTTGGAATGTGCTCCGCGCGTATAAGTGTGGCTGATCGCTCCACGACAGTGCTATTTGCTGTGCTCGAGAAATGTTCCCATGAACTTATCCTCGGCAAGGACTTTTTATACGCCCACTCGGCCCTTATTGATTGTGGAACCGGCATGCTTCAACTTGATTTACCGTGTTACCATGACGACCCAACACCAGCTCAACCCCGCCTGTGTTCTGCAGATCACGTTCGCCTAGCACCTCAAGCCGTTACTTACGTGAACCTGAGATCTGTCCCTCCTGTTCCCGATGGTGACTACATGTTGACACCTATTGCTGACGTTCTGCTGGCCAAAAAGTTGCTGTGCCTCACACACTTTTGACAGTCACGGGAAATACAGTATCTCTCCCGATCCTAAACTTCAGCTGGCCAGTGCGCTCAAGTTATCCCAGATGGTATGACTTTGGCAAAAGTTTTTTCTATAGATGCTGCCATTTCGGCGTTCGTTGCCGAATCTTCTTCGTCCTCTGCTCCGTTTTCATCCTCGAAGAACGCAGCGGATGCCATCATTGACAAGATGATCGATCCGGACCTTCTTCCAGCACAGACAGCTGACATCCGGCACCTGCTGCAATCCTACCGCGACATCTTTGATTTTGATGACCGCCCTTTGGGTCAGACATCCTTTGTAGCTCATTGGATTAAACACTGGAGACACCAGCCCCATCCGACGACGTCCTTATCACGTGTGTAATGCTGAGCGACAAGTTATCCTGCACGATGTTGAAGAAATGCTCACAAAAGACGTCATCGAACCTTTCTGCAGTCCATGGGCATCGCCGGTCGTGCTAGTCAAGAAGAAGGATGGCAGCTGGCGCTTCTACGTAGACTATCGTTATTTAAACAAAGTAACACGTAAGGACGTGTACCCACTGCCGCGGATTGATGATGCTCTCGACTGCCTACATGGGTCTGCCTACTTTTCATCTATCGACTTGCGATCAGGATACTGGCAGATTTCTGTCGATCATCGAGACCGTGAGAAAACCGCATTCATCACACCGGATGGACTTTTCAAGTTCAAGGTTATGCCATTCGGATTGTGTAATGCGCCAGCTACATTTGAAAGAATGATGGACTCTCTCCTGCGTTGATACAAATGGACCACGTGCCTGTGCTATCTCGATGACGTCATCGTATTTTCACCTACATTCGAAAGTCACCTTAGCCGCCTAACGGCTGTTTTTGAGGTTTTCCGGAAAGCAGGACTACAGCTCATCTCTTCCAAATGTCGCTTTGGCCGTCGGGAAATCACTGCGCTGGGCCACCTTGTCAGTGCTCGAGGCATGCAACCTGATCCTGACAAATTCGAGTTGTCAAAGATTTTCCCATACCACGTTTCGCATAAGATGTACGGAGTTTTATCGGCCTTTGTTCTTACTTTCGACGTTTCGTCAAGAATTTTGCTGACATTGCCCGACCACTTACGGAGCTACTGAAGGAGAACATGCCTTTTTATTGGGGTACTGACCAAGCAACTGCCTTCAGCACCCTTACAACATTACTTACTTCCCCACCCATCTTGGCCCATTTCGACCCGTCAGCTCATACTGAAATTCGTACCGATGCCAGCGGACATAGTTTGGTGCTGTTCTCGCCAAGCGGCAACGAGGACAGGATCGCGTCATTGCTTATGCCAGTCACCTCCTTTCTCCTTCGGAAAGCAAGTTTTCCATTACAGAGCGTGAGTGCCTTGCACTAGTCTGGGCAGTCGGAATATTTCGACCATACTTGTTTGGCCGCACCTTTTCGGTGATTACAGATCACCATGCCTTGTGCTGGCTGTCGTCCCTTAAAGATCCAACAGGACGACTTGGCCGTTGGGCCTTGAAACTACAAGAATACAGCTTCGACGTGGCATACAAATCTGGCCTATTGCACCAGGATGCCGACTGTCTATCCCGTCACCCCGTGGACCCACCTGACCTTTCAGCACACGATTCTGACGCTTGTGTCTTCGCCATGTCGGCTTTCACCGACATACGCAAGGAACAGCTCGGCGATGTTTATTTGCGGTCTATCATGCAGAGTCTACGCTTTCCCCACGTAGACCCGTCGCTACACTTGTTCGTTCTACGCGATGGCATTCTTTACCGACGCAACACCACTGCCGAAGAACCAGAGCTACTACTCGTAGTTCCTGCGACACTCCGTTCCGCTGTACTTGAACAGATTCACGACGCCCCAACCGCGGGACATCTCGGGGTCACGCGCACGTACGATCGCGTGCGGCGTAGATTCTTCTGGCCAGGCCTTTGCCGTTCTGTGCGCCGATACGTTACTGCATGTGAGTCCTGCCAGCGCTCCAAACATTCCACCTTGCCACCAGCTGGTCCGCTCCAACCTATAGACATACCCACCGTTGCCTTTTACCGCGTCGGTCTTGATCTCGTTGGACCATTTCCTACTTCTCTCACTGGAAACAAGTGGATAGCCGTAGCCACTGATTACGCCACAAGATACGCTATCACACGAGCGCTACCGACAAGCTGTGCCACTGACGTCGCGGACTTCTTGCTTCATGACGTAATTCTTCACCATGGCACTCCTCGACAGCTGCTGACTGATCGTGGTCGCTCATTTCTTTCAAAAGTAGTAAGTGACATCCTTCGCTCGTGTTCGACGCGTCACAAGCTCACTACGGCCTATCACCCACAAACGAATGGTCTTATCGAGCACCTAAATCGAACATTGACAACAATGCTCTCCATGCATGTTTCCAAAGATCACCTTGATTGGGATAGTACTTTGCTTATGTGACATTCGCGTACAATTCGTCACGCCACGACACCGCTGGCTTCTCCCCCTTCTATTTATTGTTCGGCCACCATCCAGCTTTACCCTTCGAGACTCTTCTCCCATCAACTACGCAAACGGTTACAGAGTACGCCCGGGACGCCATTGCTCGGGCTCAAATGGCCCGCCAAATCGCACGGGAACGTTTTCTTGGCTCGCAGCTCTCTCAGAAGGCCCGCTACGATAGCCATCACAGAGTAGTTTCCTACTCTCCTGGTTCATTGGTCCTGCTCTCGACACCATGCCCCCACGTTGGCCTCTCTTCGAAGCTCCTGTCTCGCTACTCGGGGCCTTACAAGGTTTTACGCCGGCTTACCGATGTCACATACGAGATTGCTCCGTTGGACAGTCAGTCATCGTCGTCCGCACCCGCTACTGACGTCGTCCATGTGACCCGCCTCAAACCGTACATATTCACGTATGATCCTACTCTCCTTTAGGCGCCGAGACGGCGCTGCCAGCAGCGGGGGGTTATATGTTACACGACAACGGCAACGAAAGAGCATCATAGACGACGAAGACGATGAAAGCGACCGTGCTCGTGTTGTTGTTGCTGCTGTTCTTCCATCTTGGCTGCAGCTGTCTTTGACTCTCCCTGTATATTTTGTAAATATATTTATTTCATCCAGTCTCTCAACCCCGTGACAAGCAATATATATATATATATATATATATATATATATATATATATATATATATATATATATATATATATATATATATATATATATATATATATATATATATATATATATATATATATATATATATATATCCTAGCAATGCCTCTTAGCACAACTACTATTTTTAGGTGGTGCATTTCTCGTCCGACTACGTTAGACCTAAACTAGTTTATGAGACCCCATACTGTCGAAAAGGTGAAATCCACAGTGCGAATTTCTAGAGACCTTCGCCAACTGTAAACTATTGGCGCAGGGCTACCCATGGCAGATTTTTTTTTTTTTTTTTTGAGGGGGTGAGATGTGCAGCAGAACGCCTAACTTTGGCACTTGGTGGTCGCTGTGAATGTGTGTAAATATTTTAGTATACCCTGAAAAGTTAAATTACGAAAACTTTTCGTGCTGTAGGGGGTTCCGATTCTCTTCCTCTCTCCTCCTTACTTATCGCTTTCTGGTTCTGCGTGTGCGTGATACAGTATTTTTTTTTAATCTCACTGCTCTCTGAGCACAGATAACTTCCAATATATTTATTCAGTTATTCTGAATATTGTAGACGCCTAACCAACGAAGAAAGAGCTGAGAGAGAAGAAATCAGTACAAGACACACCCTTTCTGTAATATTTTTGATATCGCACAAGGGCTTTTATGGAGCTCAAATTCAGTAGATTGGCGTGTCATACTTCAAGGAGTATGGCATCATGTGCTAGACATGAATGATGGGCAGGTACGAAAAAGTCTGCATCAAGAAAGCGCGACAGAGGAGCCGAAGCGCACAGCAGTTTCTGCACGCGGCGCGCGGCGCTTTTAGTACTATTCGACTGCAGCGCCGCTGCTATCGGCAACGCGGAAGGGATCAGGCGGCGAGGCGCGGTCACGCCACTCAACACTTCTAGTACACTCTACCTTGGGTGTTATGTGATGGCGTTTGTTGTGGCTGTTGCTGCGTAGCCGCAGTGGCTACAGTGCGCGTAGCTTGGCTACAGACTGGCGTTGAGTTGTGTAATACACCTCGAGCATTGAATTTTAATGTGAAACACTAACGAGGCTATAATGGCGCAGTTAAATTCGGAGTTATGTAAGGTCATCGACACGCTTACATCTTCGGCAGCGGCACATGTTAAAAAGGAGTGCATGTCGAAACTGAAGCTATTATGTCGGTGAGTCAGCTTTGCTCTGCTTGTGTGTAAAGTGCTTGTGTGCTTGTGTGTACCTTTATTGCGCTGTGCGTGAAGTGAAGAGCGCATGCTCTGCTACACAAGTGCGCGGTTATATATTTGCGTTTGCCAGTGCAAAGTAGTTGTCCGAGACCTGAATTTTGTTTCAGTTCGTCTGACTGTTTATTGAGGGAAGCCTGTGACCTGCTAAAAGAAAGGCTGGAGGAAAACGATGCCGATGTTCGTCTAGACACGCTTGCTGTCATTCATGAACTGTTCACTAGGTCGCACCTATTTCGGACGTTGATCTTGGAAGACTTTCAGAAGATCCTCGAACTGCTTGTCGAAACAAACCCGGACTTGCCGCTTCCTGGAACTCCAGTACGTATGCCCCCTGATATTTACTTTGTCGCTTGGCCTTTAATTCGCATTTTGTGTGTAATATCTGTCTTGCAGGCACAGGCCAAGAACTTAAAGACGAAATCATTAGAAACGATCGAAAAGTGGAACGAGAAATTCGGGCCCAGCTATAAAATACTTTCCCTTGCCGTGGAATACTTGAAGACTTGTAAGCAGGTGGGAAGCATTTTTTCTTTTTACAATGCGTTATGAGGTTGTAATTTGAGCTGTTAAAACAGACCATGGCCTGTCAGTACTGTTTGCTATAAAAAACACTTGGAAAATAGCATTTTTTCGTACAGAAGGCATTTTATTGTTTTGTGTTATTGAACTGCGCTAGTGTAGTTGGTTATGCATAAAGTAGCATATTGGCCTAACCAAGCACAGTAGCATATGCTTGCTGTGCTGTCAGTAAACAGCACCAGAGTGGCTGAAATTAACTGGAGTTTAATTAAGCTCTGGATAACTCAGTAACCCAATTATACCAGTTCTGACATAAAAATTCCAATACAGAAAAGGCGGTGCTTATCAAGTGTGCATGGAAAACACCACCACAGGGATTAACTGAAGCGTGCCTTTCTCAGTACAGGAAAGCTGTAAGCATGCTGCATGTTTCACGTAAAATGAAAGGAGTATGGTTTTTTCCCTGCTGTAGCCCACAACACAAGGCCCCACCTTCAAGTGCGCTATGCCGCTTCATTTTGATGCTTGGCTGCACCAGGTGCTCTTACACTTCACATAGCGCAGTCATTCTGTGCGACGTTCATATTGAAGCCGATGACTATGTAGTACATGCTGTTTAGAATCTGGTTGAGAGGTCCCCAGTAATTTTTTTAGTTGGTGAAATGTAATCAGTCATTTTTAAAAAATGATAAACCTTCTTAGTTATCCAACGTTGTGTCATAATGACTATGGCGTTCTGCTGCTAAACACAAGGGTGCAGGTCCGATTCCCTACCACTGTGGCCACGTTTTGATGACCTGTGTACTTCAATTTTGGTGCCCATTAATTGAGTACTTAAAACTTTAAAGGGATACTGAAGAAAATTTTTCCCCCCAATATTTTAAGCCAAATCAATAGATTGAATCTTGAAATCGATAGAGGCAACCTTCATTCCAAGCAGAAGCTACAGGAAACAAATAAATTAAATGGTTTTTTCATAAACTGCCTCGTCTAGCGGCAGCGCCGTGAACTAGAGATGGTGACGTTTGGTGACGTCCGGCTCACCCGAAACTGGCAAGTCAACAATGCCAGCCATCGCCCGCGTCTCTCGACTCGCTCATCTTTCATTTCGGTTCCTAGAACCAATATGAACAGCAACAGCAGCGAACATTGCTTCCAGCTGGCGCGGAGTACCAGGGCTTTTGTGGAAGGGAAAAAGTGGGTTGTTAGGAGAGGTGGAGAAAAGGAAGAGGAGGGCAAGAACACGTGCGTCCTGCATGCGCCTCGATGAGTTTGATTTCATGGCTCACGCTTGTGAGCAGCCGCCACGTGCTGACAATTCATCAAAAATATGACCAACTGTTCAAAAATATGGGAAATAAACTCTATATATTGGAAAAGTGGCATCTTCCGAGTCGAATTTCGAAGTTTCGTCACTTTTTCTAATTTTTGTTCAGTATCTCCTTAAGATGGTATAAAATGTGAGATTGATTTATGTACTACTTCGATTTCAGACTACGGCGGCACACAATGGCTATTTTTCTTATAGGAAGTTCCATCATGTCATGTGACGTGATGACAAACACTGTTCGCTTTCGGTTGGCTTGAGGCAAGAAATAGCATGCAATATTTATATGGTGGTAGCTAGGCCATACGAGTGAATGCTAAAAACAGCATAAACTTTTTTATACTTTCTCAGAAAGAAATCATTCCTGTTTCTAAATTATGTATTTTCATAACAACGAACACAACGCTTAGCCTGCGAACGAGGCTATGGTACGCCAGCAACTAAAAGTGAAAATGCATGCCGCATTTTTAGCGTGTCAAAAATATGACAGGTGGTGGGTGCTGGCGTTGCCGTGGAACGTGTTTTGCATGCAAGCCGGGAAGTGACCTCAACTAAAGTGTATGTGTGTATCTTACACAGTGTGACCGTGGGAGCGTCTGCTACCCGACGCACGTGGTTCGTAGTAACCATGCTAACGGCGCTGTCAAAAAGAGCGGTAGCGAGGTATTGTGTGAAGGCCACAATGAGGTGACATTTCCGGAATAGCTATCAGACGCGCGCAGTAATTGGAAGCGGTCTTTGATATCAGCAGGCGAGTGAAATGCGAAATAGAACGTTTCTCGTTGTCGTCTGCTCGAGTTTTGAACTTTGAGGGCTCATAACTACACTTTTTGTGCACCAATTTCCATCATTTTTGTTGCATTCATGTCTGTAATCATCACTACACACGTTCCGGCGCTAAATAAGGCTGTGCCAAGAGTGTCGCAGGGCCCCTTCAAGTACAGATTTCCGTGACACACACACAGGTACTCATGCCGTCGTTTTTCGTTTGAACGCGATGAGGGGAGGGACTGGATGTACAACGGTAACACAGTTAAGGGGGACAGTCAATATTAGTTGAAGCATAACAAGAGGTGGGGCCTGTACAAGCCAACAAACAATCAATAAATAACAAATGGAAACGGCAAATGAGATGGGGCTATATGTGCGATTAGAAAAATAACAGCTCAAAAACACAAAAATAAACAAGTGTCAATGGTTAAGGACATGACAATTACCCCGCTAAAAGGGGAGAATATTCATTCGCATCGGGATGAAAGGGGAAGTGGTCACGGACACTAGATGTCAACTCATAGTGCGTGTTTGTTCAGCATGTTATCCGCTAGAAGCGTGTCAAAATAGTGCGCGCCAGCTGTATATATAATATATATAAGGGAAAGAAGTCTATACTTAAGGGCTTGTTTTTCATTAATATAGGAAGGAAGTGTATACTTAAGGGCTAGTTTTTTCTTGTTAGACACAATAATAATGAGATCTAACAGACAGTAATGCAAGAAAAATATGAAGGAAGTTATTAGACCTAATTGTAATGTAAATGTGAAGAAAGAAAAGTGGATGAAAAGATAACTTGCTGGTGGGCAGAAACCGAACCTGCGACCTATATATGTATATTTAATGTAATGTGTACGAAGCAACGCTCGAGCGCGGGCGCATAGGCGGTTCGAGAAAGAGAACGAAGTTAGAATAAGAATAGCCAGCCTTCTAAACATGCATTGTCTTTTACCTTTCATCATTACAACGGTGCAGTTGATGAAAATGAAGTACGAAGTCTTCGATTCGTCGTTCACGGCACCGACCAGCATGCAGCCGCGGTAAGCCCAACTTAAGGATGGCATCAAGGCCTCCTTGGCACCGGTTCACCTGTGGTCACTGCCGCCACCATTCGGGGATGGCGTCTAGGCCTCTTTGGCGGCTCCCGACTACTGCACCCGTTCCTGTCTACGACAAGGGACGCCGTCCACGCGTCGTTGGCTATGGATCTCATCACCGTGAGTTCTGAGACCGCCGCATACTCCCTTTCACTATCGAGGACATTGCCACCTCACTGATTGCTGCGACGACGACATATTCTGCTGCCGTCGCCAAGGGCTCCACAGGTGGCTCACCCGACGAGACAGCGCAGATCATCTGTGCCGCCACGTGCCTGTTGCAACAACTGGGCAGTTGGCGTCTCTTTCCTGCTCGTCCTGTGACGTCCTTGTGAGTACTGGGGCCACCGAAACTATAATCGGGAACACCCCTCGGGGCTCGTCAGGAGCCTCACTCGATAGCGACACGGAGCACTTGCGCGTCTTCACGCAACTATCGCAGCAGGCCGACCGTTTGGCATCATTGAACTTCGGGTGCTTGCCTGCTGCTGTGCTCGCGTCGGCTGTTTAGGCAGTGCTGCTGTGCTCCCGTCGGCTGTTTAGGCTGTGCTGGTGTGCCGCAGCTTTCAGGACAACGTTTTCAAGTGGGTTGCAATCGTCAACCCGCTAGGCACCCACCATGGCTGGTCGGAGCATCGGAAATGGCTGGTGGCCATCGACCACTTTTGCGATGCAGCTAAGGCATAGCCTGCCTACGAAGGCGTCTTATAGCGATCGTGGTCGCAATGGTGTGCTAACTAGCCTTTTGCACCCACTTTTTGATGCTTGCGACCCCCTTCCTACCGAACAAGGCTCTACCATCCAGGAAAGCTGCGAGGCGAACAACTTCGATAGCGCAGCTCGGGCTTCTATCATCATGCCCTCTTACAAAGACCGAAATCATCAGGGGCAACATCCCGAAGCGGCAGCTGTACCCTGTACCAACGTGCCCTCTCTCAGATATCGATCTCCGCTGGTGCAGTAGCTAGATGGGCCATCGAAGCCTTTGAGCTCCACGACAAAATGCTTTCCCGGCTGCCTTGAAGCTGACGTCGAACACGGCTCTTGCACTCCGCTGCCTGTCTCCGCCTCTGTGCCATTATTCGACAGCATAACATCATCGCAAGAGGCTGAGGCCGTTCTTGAGACAGTGCAGTTTGTCAAGCCGGCTCTGGATTTAGCTTTGCTGAGGCACTTGCAGATGCCAGATTCTCCCACGCTTGATAAGCTTACAGTGAAGGGGCTGGTAGAGCCCTAAGCATCGATCCATAGGCTTGCTGACCATGATCATGAGAGACATGACCTTGGGGTTGGAGATGAACACAGCAGCCGCTACAACGAAAGTTTCGTTGAATGTCTCAAACCACACAAGACCATTCGCAAGTCACAGCACTTGGCAATGCTGCCTCCGAGCTCACCACCGCTGGAGCGCATGATGGTGCAAGATATTCTCGTTCTCGTGCCTTATACGCCCATCGCTCAGCGAAGGAAACCACAAATGTTGGAGCATATGCAGCTGTCTCCTTTTGCAAGCCTTGAAACAGTGGATGCCCATTACTCGGTAACGCGGTACTTCTCACTTAGCTCGTGTGGGGAGAAAACATCGAGGAGATTTGGTCCATCACTTGCACAGTTGCAGAGACGTGCGCAAGTACAGAACAGACAGTCTCCTTGCAGCCACCCCACATTAGTGCAATCGTCTTCGTGCCGATATGATTTTATTACAGTATGTCTAGAAATGGGACCAGAGAAGCGACAACGGCACCTACAACCTCCTCTAAATGGCCAATGCCGACCGCTGGAAGCATCTGCACTCCAGC